CTACTACTACTACTACTACTACTACTACTACTACTACTACTACTACTACTACTACTACTACTACTACTACTACTACTACTACTACTACTACTACTACTACTACTACTACTACTACTACTACTACTACTACTACTACTACTACTACTACTACTACTACTACTACTACTACTACTACTACTACTACTACTACTACTACTACTACTACTACTACTACTACTACTACTACTACTATTCACTGTTAATTTGTTCTCAGTGTAATTATTGTTATTATTGTTCTCAGGTGTTTTCTTCTTCTTTCTCTGCTTCTTCCTCTGCCCACTAAACATGGGCTCCTCCCAGGCGATCGCCTTCCACCCGCCTTCTCGGCCTCTTCCTCTCCCTCCCGCGCGCGCGCGAGACCCTCGTGAGCTCCACGGCGGAGGCGCCGGTGACGCTGTTGGGCCGGGTGTGCGGTGGCAAGGCGCCCGTTCGTGCCGGCCGCCCCGTGAACCGTGTGCTGTGGGGGCAGCGGTAGGAGTAGGGCAGGGGTAGCCATAGGGTTCTGTCGGGCGTGTCCCCCTACAGGGGGGTTGTCGACGAATAATAAAACATACCCCAAAAACATGCTCCAAAAAGGTTCAGACAAGCTCAAGAAATGGTCCCTGGACTATGTTTGGATTATGTTTTGGCTATTTATGGGGTATCGTTTATTTTTCGTCGAGAATCCTCCTGTAGGGGGACAGGCCCGACAGAACCACAGGGGGTAACGATAGGCATCAGATAGGCACAGCCCAGTTTGCTTGTGCTCACGCCCGGCCAATCCGGCCGAAGGTGTTGGCCTCATCTTGGGCCTGATCAGGGCCAAGTCGGCTCAGTTTCTTCCAGGGTGGCTTATCAGGGGCAAGGATAGGGGGGGGATGATAGCCATAGGGGGGGAACATCGACCTCCAATCGCCCATGGATCGCCGATAGGGGCCCGATACCCCCAACCTGCACAGCAAGGTGCGGATTCACTATCGAAGGCCTATCGTCGATCTATCGACGATGTATCTCCGATTCCAGGTCGATGTTGGGCCAGGTGTGCGGTGGCAAGGCGCCCGCTCGTGCTAGCCTGAAGTCGGGCGTGTCACTCTACAGGAGAAATAGCCAGAAGTAATCAAAAAATAGTTAGGGGACGATTTTTCGACAAGGTCTTGATGGTTTTTGAACATGTTTGGGCTATTTCCCAACCCTCCTGCGTTGGGTTCTCGTTTTAAATAGAGCACTGCTCGCGCGTCTCCTTCCTTCCTTCCTTCCCTCCCGCCCTTCTCTTCCACCTTGCCTTTCGCATCGCTCGTCGCTGCGTGCCAGCTGGGGGGCTGCGATCTGTGAAACTGTCGCCACTTTCGAGGGCTGCTGAGGGGCCCAGCACAGTGGGTACTCACCGCAGACTCAAATGGGACCTCGCCATCCCTGGGGGGCTGCGATCTGTGAAACTGTCGCCACTTTCGAGGGCTGCTGAGGGGCCCAGCACAGTGGGTACTCACCGCAGACTCAAATGGGACCTCGCCATCCCTGGGGGGCTGCGATCTGTGAAACTGTCGCCACTTTCGAGGCTGCTGGGGGGCCCAGCACAGTGGGTACTCACCGCAGATTCAAATGGGACCTCGCCATCCCTGGGGGGCTGCGATCTGTGAAACTGTCGCCACTTTCGAGGCTGCTGGGGGGCCCAGCACAGTGGCAGACTCAAATTAGACCTCGCCATCCCTGGGGGGCTGCGATCTGTGAAACTGTCGCCACTTTCGAGGGCTGCTGAGGGGCCCAGCACAGTGGGTACTCACCGCAGACTCAAATGGGACCTCGCCATCCCTGGGGGGCTGCGATCTGTGAAACTGTCGCCACTTTCGAGGGCTGCTGGGGGGCCCAGCACAGTGGGTACCACCGCAGACTCAAATTGGGACCTCGCCATCCCTGGGGGGCTGCGATCTGTGAAACTGTCGCGAGGGGCCCAGCACAGTGGGTACTCACCGCGGGCTCAAAATGGACCTCGCCATCCCTGGGGGGCCTGAGATCTGTGAAACTGTCGCCATCTTCGAGGCCTGCTGGGGGGCCCAGCACAGTGGGTACTCACCGCAGACTCAAATTGGACCTCGCCATCCCTGGGGGGCTGCGATCTGTGAAACTGTCGCCACTTTCGAGGGCTGCTGAGGGGCCCAGCACAGTGGGTACTCACCGCAGACTCAAATAGGACCTCGCCATCCCTGGGGGGCTGCGATCTGTGAAACTGTCGCCACTTTCGAGGCCTGTTTGCGGGGCCCAGCACAGTGACGCCTCCCAAGTAGCTTACACATCAAGTTGATTGTCCATACAAGTTTCGGCCAACTCCTCGTTTCCATTGATACAAATGGGTTGGGTGCGTCACAGGGTAATTCTTATTTTCGCCCAAAATCAGCCTGTAGGGGGACATGCCCGACCTAATGCTACCCACCCTGTCAACCGTGTGCTGCCGGCGGTTTGGCGGTGAGCTGGGGGGGTGCGAGAGAGGGCAGGCCATCTCGGCAGGCGGCGGGGCTCTCTCAGAGGGCTCCTGGCCTTCGGAGGCGGCTTTGAGCTTTTCCCGGGAGGCGCGGAGGTTTCTGAGGAGCCCCGCTGCCTTCTGAGAAGGCCTACCCCCTCTCACTTCCCCCCTCGGGCTCGCCGCCGAGAGGTTCGGAACGGGGGTTGCCTCGTGGAGCCGTCTTTGGGGCCCCTTGGTCACGAGCCCCCCATCGGGAGCCTCTGAGGTTGGTCTTGGGCAGTGATTGGGCTGTTTTGGACACTCTTGGCACCGATGCAGCGAGAGTTTTCAGATCACGCAAGAAGCTACAGTACTCAAGCGATGGTGGCCACTGGCCGATCTTCGGGACCTCCAAGACGGCCCGCGAGTCTCGCAAGAGTCCCGAGAGGGATCAAGCGGGCCGAGGCGACCCAAATGTAGCCACAGCGGCCCCGAGATCGCCTGTTTTAATCCTCTAGACGCTTCTCGTAACATAACCAACTCATCCAGAAACGATGCCCAGACGAGCTGCCGTGGGGGAGCATGGAAGAGGAATCGGAGGAGGAAGAGTAGGGAGGGGGGAAGGGGGAGGAAGGAAGAAGGAGGAGGAGGAGGAGGAATAGGCGGATGAGGAAGAGGCAGAGGAGGAGGAGGAGGAGGAGGAGGGCAAACAGAAAAGCCAGATGCATCTTGGATGCTTCTCGCAGTCTCTTCGAATGTCTCTCGACAGTTTCTTGTAGGCCGCTTTGGGCGTCTTGCGGGCCTCCAGGCCGTCCTGGGGGCCTCGTGAAGAGTCTCGGATGCCTCGGGGGAGCCTCTTGAGGGTCTCTTGGGAGCCTCCTGGGACATCTCGGGAGCCTTTTGGGGGCCTCCTGGGCGCCTCTTTGGTGGCCCGCGTGGTGCACGCTTGGGAGCCCTGGGGGCCGAGGAGGGGGAGGAGGAGGAGGAGGAGGAGGAGGAGGAGGAGGAGGAGGGGGAGGAGGAGGAGGAGGAGGAGGAGGAGGAGGAGGAGGAGGAGGAGAGGAGGAGGAGGAGGAGGAGGAGGAGGAGGAGGAGGAGGAGGAGGAGAGGGCCATCTTGGAGGAGTTCGATCAAAGAAGGGGGGGGTACCAGAGTTAAGCGTTCCCCCTTAGGAGTAGCGTCTTCTCGCCGAGGCCATCTTGGACGCTCCGACGGCCCGCGACCCCCCCCCCCCCCTCCAGACCTACGGGGGGGAGGGGGTAGGGGGAGGGGTTGCACCCCTCCCCTGCAGGGGAAGAAGTGGGATTGGGAGAGGAAGCTCGCTAATTCCCTCCTCCCTCCTCCTCATCATCGTCATCATCATCACCATCATCATCACCATCATCACCATCATCATTACCATCATCATCATCAGCATCATCAGCATCAGCATCATCATCATCATCATCACATCACATCACATCATCACATCATCACATCACCATCATCATTATCATCAGCATCAGCAGCAGCATCATCATCATCATCATCATCATCGACGTGCCTGTTGCCAGTGAGCTCGGAGAGCCCCGGGGCAGCCGCAGAGAGACAGGGGCGAGCTCGGAATGGGAAAGAGCGCCTCCCACGCTCCCATGGCCCCCTTGAAAAGGTAATGCACTTTTGCAGGCCGTGTCGAAGAATCGCCCTTTGGGACTTCCCTGGGGGTCGTGTTTCGTCCCGGGTCCGTTTCTGACGGCCCCAGTCAGAAGATCCCCGACCCAGGGCCCGAATATTGCCATCGGAGGCGAAACGCTACGAAAAGCCGAAGGCGACGAAAGCAAACACAGCGACAGTCGAAGTCCCAGGGCCCGAATATTGCCATCGGGGGCGAAACGCTGCGAAAAGCCGAAGGCGACGAAAGCAAACACAGCGACAGTCGAAGTTGCGCTACTTTTCCAGGGCGAGGGGGCCACATACGAACCGTACCCCTCCCCCTCAAGAATCGGCCGATGCGGCTCGATGCGGAGGCCGAATTTCTCCGCGCCGACGTCGGCTACGCATCGCCGACGTCGCCGATGCATCGGCGATGCGGTGCGATCCTCGGACCCCATCTGCTCGGACCTCATATGGGAGGCCTAAGTAGAAGAACGACCCGACGCGGCTGTTTTGCGGCGCGAGGGGGTCGGTCGGAAGGTCACCGCCCACCAAACCACCCCAACCCAAATTGAAGGCCCCAACTTGCCCTCCATTCCCGGTGGGGGAGGGGTCGGGGAACTCTGTGTAACATATTTGGATCACATGTGTCATCAATTGGTTTATGTCGTACTGCAGTTCTTCTTTGGGCTGGTGTCTTCTATTTTCCAGTTACACAATCTACATATCTGTGGGATTACATCACATACTTACGTAATGAAATTTTGCGGTGTCGGTTTGTTGTACAGTTCAGTGCAATGACGGGCCCGGTACACCATATGACGTATCTGCATGCGATGCTACGCCCTGACGTTACGTGTGGGGCTGGGAGGGACCGCTCCTGAACAACGGTCGCCGCAGCTCTTCGAGCTGCGTGGTGTCCTCACACGCCTACGGATTGGAGGCGCAGCTTGGTTCTACCCCCAAATCGCATTTAAGAAGCCCATACCCCCCCCCCCCAACCCGAGGTTCGGGTCTTCGGGTTGGGTTGGGGTGGTCTGGTAGGCAGTCGGACGGGCCCCAGCGGCCCGTGGCGCCCAGGTGTTCTGTTGGCGCCTCAACGTGGCCTGCGCCCAGGTCGTCAGCCAGACGCTGGTGTGCGAGAGCGGCGGGCGGGGCGCTCAGCCGCGGCAGTGCAGGTAAGGTTTGCCTCCTCCTCCTCCTCCTCCTCCTCCTCCTCCTCCTCCTCCTCCTCCTCCTCCTCCCCCTCCTCCCTCCTCCTCCTCCGCCTCTCCTTCTCCTCCCCCCTCCCCCCTCCCCTCCTCCCTCCTCCTCCTCCTCCTCCCTCCTCCTCCTCCTCCTCCTCCTCCTCCTCCTCCTCCCCTCCCCCTCCCCCTCCCTTCCTCCTTCTCCTCCCCCTCCTTCCCCTCCTTCTCCTCCTCCTCCCCCTCCTCCTCCTCCTCCTCCTCCAGTTTCGTGCGTTGGGAGGTTTGGGTTATTGGGTGGCATGCTCGTGGGAGTTGGAATTGTTGCTTCTCGTTCTCCCTTCCCCTCCTGCCCGTTCCTTGTGTTTTTTTGGCCCCCAGTCCGCTCCTGCTCGCACGCCCTCCTTTAGCGCGCTTCCTCAAACAGCTGTGCTGATTAGGGGTCCTGTAGCGGTAGAAGCTAGTTCTCGCCAAGGGGCCAGCGCTCGGACACATCCGCCAGCATCAGGGGTGGTCCGGCCAGTTTCGCCAGATATGTCGTAGCAGCTCTGGGTTCGGAGACCCCTGAACTGAGGTGGCCCGGCCAGTTTGGCTCGACACATTCTCGCAATTCTGGGCTCGGAGATGCCGGCGTCCCCGCATCGCTGGGCTCGGAGATACAGAGCGCGAGGTGGTCCAGCCAGTTCCGCCAAAGACACTTGGGCTCGGAGATGCAGCGCGCCACGCGGTCTGTCACCAGACAGCGTTGGGACCCCCAACTGTACGCCATGCGCTCGGCCAGTCAGACTCGCGGCCGCAGGCAAGAGCAGGAGCGTAAACCCAAGATGCACCAAAAATGTTGCAATACACCCTACCGTCGCACGTCCCCTTCTGAGATCCGCAGACTCCTACCTGTTTCGCAAGCCTAAAGGTTGACACCAACACCAATATCGGCGGTGTGCCTCCACCGACGGAAGAAGATCCCGATCTCGGTGATGGTGGTAATACTCTGGCTTCCAAGGCGGCCGAAGTGTGACCACCCACGCCGAAGTCTAGGATCCTCTCCCCCCTGTGGAGGCACCCCCCTGTGTTGGTGCTGGTGCCCCTTTTCAGGTCTCCAGCTGTTCACTGCAAGACGCACCTCCCTGGAAGGCCGGCACCCCGTGGGCGTGCCATTCGGGCGAGAGCCCAGTGAAGAGGAGGAGGAGGAGGAGGAGGAGGACGAAGGGCGGGAGGGAGGGAGGGAGGGAGGGAGGGAGGGAGGGTGGGAGGGAGGAGGAGGAGGAGGAGGATGAGGAGGAGGAGGAGGAGGAGGAGGAGGAGGAGGAGGAGGAGGAGGAGGAGGAGGAGTTGGAATTAGAAGCCACCCGCCCCCCGAAGACACCCTCACCCGTTTCGGTCTCCTTCCCCCCTACAAAATGTTGTATGTGGTTGCCTATTTTTATTTATTTACTCTCGCCTCGCATCTCCCGAACCCTCTTAGTGAAAGTGTAGCTTTAGGTCTGATCCCTCAACTTAGAGTGTTTTTGTTTCGCACCCTGGAGCCCGATCAGCCCCGCCCAAGCAGTTTTGTGTGGACTGCATCGCGTACAGCAAGGCCTGGGGGTAGCGACGGTGGTAGCGGCGGCAGTGGTTAGGACGAACTGGCGTGGAGTACGAGCGCAGGAGGGGGAGGAGAGGAGGAGGAGGTAGAGGAGGAGGAAAAGGAGGAGGAGGAGGAGGCTGACGCTGCGTGGGACCGCGTGAGCGCGTCGAAGAAAGAAGAGGGGGAGGAGGAGGAGGAGGAGGAGGAGGAGGAGGAGGAGGAGGAGGAGGAGGAGGAGGAGGCAGGGGACCTTGGGAGTGCGTCGAAGAACGAGGAGGAGGAGGAGGAGGAGGAGGAGGAGGAGGAGGAGATCAGGAGGAGGAGGGGAAGCAGCGGCAGGACCAGGAAGGCGGATGGCACGGCGGGTTCGTGTCGGGCCGACGCGGCGGCGACCCCGTGGCGGGCGGTCAAGGTTGAACGCCGCCAGTGGCCAAGAATCGGCAAGCTTGGGCGGTCCGCGCGGCGTCAGAGACGAACGCCGTGGCCGTCACGACACGAGCTTGCCGTTGTCCCCGACCCCTCGGCGCTCTCCAGTCGGCGCCAGAGTCGTTGAGGATAAGAGAACCCCTGAGCCTAATAGCACGACGAAGACGTGGCCTCACTGATGTCCCTGTCGCCACATTAGGGATATTTGTTGACGCTTCGCGGGTCCCCAGCAGCCCATTCAGAAGCCTTGCCCATGAGAGCTGACGGGAAAAAAGGACGAAGAGGCATATAGTGAAGCAGAGCGTGCACGCGTGCGCGGAGAGGAGAGGAATGATGGTGTTGAGGCATTTTGGCGGCTATCTTGGAGCACCGGAGGCCTTCTTGGAGCTACGGGGCTGCACTGGGGGATAATGAGATCCTCTTGGAGCTCTTTTGAGGCATCTTGGGGCTCCTTGGGGGGTCTTGGGGTCCTCTTGGTGCTGTTTTGGGGCGCTTTGGGGCCCTCATGTGGCTCTCTTGGGAGTCCTTTGGGGCCCTCATGGGAGCTATGGACCGCCTCCAGGGGCCATCTTGGAGACCGTCCATCGATCAAAGGGGGGGGGGTCCTCGATTTCCCTCCCCCCTCCAGGGCCATCGAACTAGCCTCTTGGGGCCCTATTGGGGCGATCTTGGGCGCTCGGATGGCAGTCTTAGGGGCCTCCTGGGCCTCTCTTGGAGCTTTCTTGGGCCATCTTTGGGCCATCTTGAGGCTTGTAAAGCTCATCGGAAGCGAAAGGGCGAGAAGGCGCAAGTCATTGATTTGTTCTTTAGGTTTTTGAAGGATTTTGCTAGAGGAGGTCCTGAGGTGTCTCCGAGGGTACCTGTATCCGTCTTGTGGCCTTCTTGGGGTCTCTTGGAGGCATGTCGGAAGCAATCTTGAATCATCTTTGGTTGCCTCGAGGAATTTTGAAGTCCATCCTCGAGCATCGGAGGCCCTTTTGGAGCCATCTTGAGCGAGAAGGAACCCTCTGATGACTCGCGGCCCCCCGTCCAGGTCCAGGGGAGGGGCTAGGGGGAGGAGTCAAGCTACCCACCCGCCCGCAAGCCGTCCAGCTCACTTCCACCCGCCCTCCCAACACATAAAATACCACCCGAGCCTGAGCATGTTCAGCGGTCGTCTTTGGATGGGTAGCTACTGGGAACTAATACCCACCCCATTTGCGCGACGCTGGGGCGAGGTGCGCCACGCGCGCCAGGCACCCATGGGGCCCGAGCGTAACAGGCACGTCTGGTGCGCCAAGTGCGCCACGTGCTCCGCGAACGCCAGGTGTGCCGCATATTCTAGCCGCGCCAGGTGCGCCACGTTCGGGCACATGCGGAGGGTTTCAGGTGCGCCTGCGCACGTGGCAGCACACATCGGGAAAATGCCAACCATTGTGTCTGGTGGGCCTGCGCACAGCAGGCCATACGCCACCACTCCCGCCGTCCCTTTCGAAATCCACTTGGCAGTGATCGCGGGGTGGCCGCGCCTGATCCAGGTTCGGCCGCGAGGTGCATTTTGTATGTCTTTTCGTCAGGGATGGTCGCCCTGCGCGCAGCAGGGAATATGCTGCCACCCGCGCCATCCCTGTCAAAAACAATACAAAGTGCTCGTGGGCCTCACGAACATGGTTCAAAACATTTGGTGTTGTTTTTTGACAGGGATGGTGGGGGGCCGCATCGGGTTGGCCGCGCATGCTCCAAATATGGATACATAGTGCGTTTTGTATTGTTGTTTGACGGGGATGGTGGGGGGTGTCCTCATGGTTCCTGGTTGGCCGCCGGTCGCCTGGGGGAGGAGGTATATATTAATAGGGAACAGTGATAGATCCCTCCCCGAAGGGGAAGAAGGAGCGTTTGGAAGAGGAAAGACCACCTGTCACCCAGAGGGCTGGTGGGATAATGCTGGGCGGTTTGGCACGATACATTTGCAGATGAGACCCCCTTATCTGCAATGTTCCAGGAACTTCTGTTAGGTCCCCTCCCAAAGGGTTAGGGATCCTTGTATGCCCAATCACATAATGTTCCGAACGCGATGGCGCGCGCCTGGGTTTCTGGGTCAAGGCACACGTGCACCTTGGGCCGCATCAGAGGCTCAGCGATTTGCCCAGGAGTGGCCGGTGGTGGACGATGAACTTCGGGGCTAGGACGAGGAGAACTTCGTTCCAGAATGCTCTCAGAGCGTTCTGGATTGCTCGTAGAAGGCTGCGGCGCCCGAGACATACTCCATAACCGCGTGATCTAAGAGAGATTCCCGATCTATCCTCGTTCGATTGTTTTATTGAGTCGTTTCGCTCATTCCGCCGGCCCATTTCGCATGACTGAGCCTCTTGGGGCCGCTGGGGGGCCTCTTCAGCGTCGCTTGGGGGCTTCCTGAGGGCCTCTTGGGGGCTTTGGGGGCCTCTCAGGGGCCTCTTGAGGCCTCCTGGGGGCTTCTTAACGCCGAGGGCTCGAAGTTTTGTTTTGTGTTCCCCTTTGGGGCATCGCTTGGGGCCCTCTTGGGCCCCTCTTGGGCCGTCTTGGATGCCTCTGGGGCCGTCTTGGAGCCCTCTTGGGCCATCTTGGGGCTTCTTGGGAGCTTCTTGGGCCCTCTTGGGGCGATCTTGGGGGCCTCTTGGGCCGTCTTGGGGCGTCGGGAAGCCGAAAAGATGGACACGCCAAAATCTGCCCAAAACCTAAGGAAAAGTAATGAATTTTGCCTCTTGGGGCCCTCTGGGGAGTGCTCTTGGAGGCCTCTTGGGGCGTCTGGGGGCCATCTTGGGCGTCTTGGAACGATCGTGTGGCATCTCGGAGCACTCTTGAACCATCTTGGAGGGCTCTTGGCGGCCTCGTGGCCCTTCTTGGGGCTCTCTGGAGGGCCACGGGGGCGGCGCCCAGGAGGAAAACCATCTTTGATCCGACCCTGCCGGGGATCGCCCGGGGTACTTTTCGTCCGGGGACCCCCAGGGGCCGCTCTGCGCGCGCGAAGTAGAAGTATTATTTGACAGTTACCGGAGATCTTAGCACGCCTCTGGCCCGCTGGGCCGGCGAATTTTCTTCTTGGCTTCGTCTGAGATTGCCGTGGGTACCGATGCAGGACAGGCGAGCAGGCTTCCTCCTCGCTCAGTGTCCTGCAGCTCGGATATGCCGTTTGTAGAAATGTTGCGCCCAACGTCGGGGCCTCTTTCGCGCAAGGCCAGCGGCGTAGACCAGGACATGCCCCAGAGCGCGGCCCCCTTCCCCCCGCCTCTCCCTGGCTTCCCCTCCTCCCTCCCCCTCTCCTCCTCCCCCTGTGCCTCCTCCTCGCCCTCCTCTCCTCCCTCCCTCCCTCCTCCTCTCCTCCTCTCCTCCTTCCCCCCGTGCCTCCTCCTCGCCCTCCTCTCCTCCCTCCCCCCCTCCCTCCTTTGGGGCCTGGGCCTCGAGGAGGGCCCGCGGCGCCGCCCGCGCTGCGCGGGGGCCCCCGCAGCCGCGCCCGCCTCGAGCCGACCGCCCCGCCCCCTCCCCGCCGGCGCCCGGTCCCCGTGCCCGCCCCTGGCCGGCGACCGCACGGGGTGCGGTGACGCCGGGTGGCGCGGGCCTCGGGAGGAAACAGAAAGTAGCGAGCTTGTCATCCACGCGCAGAGGGGGGTGGGGGGAGCGAAGGATTGCAAAAAACGAAGGATTGCAAAAAAAACGAAGGATTTGCAAAAAACGAAGGGTTTTTGTTTTTTTTGTTGTTTTTTGTTTGCAATCCTTCGTTTTTTTTGCAATCCTTCGTTGCAATCCTTCGTTTTTTTTCGCAATCCTTCGTTCAAGGGAGGGCTTCTTAGAAGCACCCTTGCTTCTCAGAGGGCGCGGGCCTCATCTGTAGAGGTGCGAGGCCGGCGCCCTCTCGGGAGCAGCCTGCTTCTAAGAAGCCCTCCCCCCTCCCCCCACCCGCTTGTGCGCGCCGCCAAGCTTCCATGCCACACTCATCTGTCAGCGCCTCTCGGGAGGGAAGCAGAGAGCACACAGGCACAAGTGATCGTCGATCCCCCCCCCAAAAAAATGGGAAAGTATGGGAAGTGGGGGGGGAAGACAAAAACCAGAAACTACAGGAAACTTTATAGAGGGAATCCTGTTATGTGTGTGTATTTATTTGTGTGTCCCAGGGCCCCTTCAGCCTCCCCCTCCTCCCAGTGTTCAAATCTTGGCGGTGGGTCTGAGGAGTTGCACCTCGACCGCAGCCTCTCCCGCGCGTGCCAATTTTGTGTTTGGGGGGTGGGGGGAGTGTTCCGTAGTTGTTTTTCTCTACCGTAGGGCCACGTCTGCCTGCTTCTACAGTCGAGGTTGATTAGTAGGTCAGCCCTGCCAAATCCAGGGTACCCTTGTGTCCCGTGACTTTTGGGGCCCATGCCTGCTACATTCCTCTTGCAATGTGGCCCTCGGAAGGGTCTTGTGACCTCTCGCGTGTCCTCTCCAATCAACCCCGGCCTTATCTGTCGGAACGATCGGAATGAGTACGGGGAGAATGGGTACAAAGACCGACGGCAGTTCCTGTTCAGTTTGAACTGGACTCGCCGTCCGCGCCGCCGCGGACGTTGTTCGTTGAAGACAACGAGCCGCCTGCCCGACAGCGGCCGCGATCGGTTTTGGACAACATCTGAAGTTGGGCAGTGTACCCATTTCTTCCGTACCCATTTCGGTCGTCCAAAATCTGAGCCTCCCAGATGGGGTCAGAGCAATTCTGAGCACGTCTGTACGAGGAGTGCGGTACACATAGCAAGATCGGCGCAATCTTCGCCGAAGGCGTTGCTCACAGTCTTCTCCTTCATCTAGTCGTCGTCGTCGTCGATGCTTTGCGGCGGGTGCCGCAGCGAAATGTTTTGTTCCCATTTGGGACTCCAGTCCGTCAAGAAGGGTGTCGAAAACATACTTAGTTCCCACTATTGGGGAGGGCTCTAAAGACCCTTAGAGGTTAGATGGGGTTGGAGGATCGCACCGCATCGCCATGTGGAGCCAGATTTTGTCCACGCCGACGTCGCCGATGCATCGGCGACTCGTCGCCGTTGCACTGCCGATGCGTCGCCGATGCATCGCCGATGCGGCGCGACCATCCGACCCCAATCACTCCGATCCCGTCCAGGCGGCCCCTATTCTAGAATGCCAGTATCTTGGGCCTATGCCACAGACCCTTTTCACGTTATAGCCACAGGTGTCTGTGGGTACATGTGATGCCGTTGCGTCTATAGACGCATTCGGGGTGGATGCGTCCATGGACAACGCGGCCGTTGCGTTCTTCGCAATATAAGACCGGAGAAAGGGTAGATCCGTCTACGGTACGTTCTTGTTCTAGAGCAGGTCCCACATGGTACTCCAAGGCAGGGGTGTTGTCTTTGATCTGCGTCGGTTGGGGCTTAGGTCGGGAGGATCGAAATTTGTACGGAAAGAATGGGCACGAAGACCGACAGCATGTTCCTATCCAGTTTGAACAGCGTTCGATGTTGCCCAACAGCGGCCGCTGTCGGTGTTGGACAACATGTGTTGTTGGGCGTGGTCGCCAAGCTTGGGGGGCACCATACTGCCCTCGTCGGGCCGCCTCGGGGCGTGGCGGAGAACTCTGGCGAGGTTCTCGCCCGCCACCCAGGGTGCTTAACAGCCCAGAACATGTCCCTATCCTTTGAACTAGTTGGTAGCACCTTCTCTCGATGCCGATCTTGAGGATTGCCTCAGCTTCTGACGACGCATCCCTGAGAATTCCATCGCCCTTTGACTCGTCAGCCTTCTGGATAGGGATACGTTCGGGGGTGAACAGAACCCCCACCCTAACACGTTGGTTCGTGAATTGTCCGTCTTCGGTTCTCGAGAGGGCACCGCGGCCGTCATTTTCCAGGCCTGCGCCCGCCAGGTTTGGACTTGAGGTCGCTTGCACTTTGTGAAAGGGGGTTTTGTCCATCTCCGATACAGTGGAGGCCCATGCCAAGAAACACCCTGCTTGCCTCCAGGGTGCCCTGGGTTTCTTGGGCTCCCGCGCCAAGCATCCATGGACGTCCTGGGGTCTCAGGGTGGGGTGTCCTGTGGAAGGCTTCCTGTGGACTGGCCTCCACTGTACGGTCGAGGCTCGTCAGCGCACCCTCTGCAGACCGCACCCTTCGCGGTCGCCCGCCCGTGGTGCGGCCCGCCGGCGCGCTCCCCGTGGAGCCCGCAGCCTGTGGGGCCATGCTGCTGAAGAAGGCGCCGCGTCGGCCGGCCCCCTCCCCTGCAAAGGGAGGGAGCACGGGGACTTTGACACTCAAGCAGTGGCGAGGCGTCTTGGCTTGCCTGTAGGCCCACCAAGACATGTTCTAAGGGCCCTTCGTTGTTCTGCGAACGTTGATTTGTTCTTAGAACCTTTTTGGATTATAAAAACATGTCGTGGTAGGCCTAGAGGAGTGCCGGGACGGCAAGCCATTGGGGCAAGCTACGTTGTTCCAGCTATATGCCGATATATATATATATATATATATATATGTGTGTACGTACAGAGATTATATCACAACCGAGCTGTATGCCAGTAAATATATAAAACTATTTGTCTATATATAAATATATGTGTGTATACGGCACATGGCATGGGTGTTAGTCTGGCGGCTATGCAACCACCGTCACCGCTTCGTCGCCGCCCAGCAGATGGCACCACATAGATCGCCCCACATAGACGGGATCACAGATATCGCACCACGTAGATTCTAACAGAGTAGGATTTCCACCCCCCCCGGGGTTATCAATCCCCCTTTCGGGTATGTAAATCATATTTGATTCTGACCACATGTCCATCCTAAATATGATTTTACACTATCCCAGGCCGGCCGGTATCTCCCCCCTGAGGTTCCCTTGTGAAAAACATTATGCGGTGACATTTGTTGTTCTAACAGCGCACTTTTTCACGAATTCTTGGCAGAAATGGGACGAAGTGCGCACGCGCGCGTCGTCACGCGCGCATGCCGAAATCCTTCAAAAACCTTCGGTGCCGGAAGGATTTCGCAATTGAGTTTCCAATACACATACAAAAACACAGGGTTTCGCAACACTGAGTTGCTAAAAAAGCTTCCGCGCGAGCTCTTGCGAAATCTTAAGAAAACCATAGGCGTCCCAAGATTTTCACACAATGCTATTAAACGGGCTTCGCGCGCGCATATCGAAATCTGTCGAACGCCCTTGCGCGTGTGCCGTCGCGAGAATCTTCGGCAAAAAAAAGACGAAGTGCAGACGCGCGCGTCGTTGCGCGCGTCTGCCGAAATCCTTCAAAACCCATCGGTTTCGGAAGGATTTCAAGATCGCGTGTCCAAAAAACATTTCAAAGCCCAAGGTTTCGCAAAACGGATTTTCAACAAAAGCGTGCGCGCGCGCTCTTGCGTCGTCGGCGTTTTCCTTCCTCCCTCGTCGTTGTCGTCGTCGGCGTCGCCGTTCTTCCTCCTTCTTCGTCGTTCGCGTCGTCGCCGTCCTCCCTCCTCCCTCGTCGTTGTCGTCAGTGTCGTCGTTGTCGCCGTCGTCGTCCTCCCTCCTCCCTCGTCGTCGTCTTCGTTGGCGACGTCGTTGTCGTCGTCGTCGTCGTCGTCGTTGTCTTCGTCGTCGTCGTCGGCGTCGTCGTCGTCGGCGTCGTCGTCGTCGTTGTCATCGTCGTCGTCGTCGGCGTCGTTGTCGTCGTCGGTGTCGTCGTCGTCGTGGTCGCTGTCGTCGTCGAAGTCGTTGGAGACGTCGTCGGTGTCGTCGTCGGTGTCGGCGGCGCCGTCGTCGCCGTTGTCGCTGTCGTCGTCGGCGTCGGTGTCGTGGCCAAGTGCCATCTGGTACCTACCGTCACGGTCTTGTCTTAAGAGGTCTTGCGACCAAGTTGCGGGTGGGAGGGTGGGATGTTTGCACGAGCAGTGGAGAGGACAGCTTCAAAACGGTCAGCACTGAATTGCACTACATAGTTTGCACCATATCGATTGCTAGAAACACATTGATTTCTCCGGGTCCACGCTGGCTTTTATGAAGATGTGTGTGTATATATATATACACATACATATATGTATTTGAAAGAGCGTGTTCTACCGCTGCTGGCGGAAAGCCAAGGGGGGGGTCACTACCGGTTCGAACCCCTCCCCCCCCCCCTCCGGAAAACCGGGGGGGGTCACTACGGGTTCGAACCCCTCCCCCCCCCCAGTTCATCATGAAAAGGGGGGGGGTCACTACCGGTTCGAACCCCCCCCCCTCGAAAACCGGGGGGGGGGTCACTACCGGTTCGAACCCCCCCCCCCCTTCCTCGAGAACCAAGGGGGGGTGCGGACAGTGGTGGGGACGGTGGTGGTGGAGACAGTGGTGAGGGGACAGCGAGCGGGACAGTGGTGGGGACAGTGGGACAGTGGTGGGGACTGTAGTGGTGGGGACAGTGGTGAGGACAATGGTGGGAACAGTGGGGGCAGTGGACAATGGTGGGAACAGTGGGGACAGTGGACAGTGGTGGGGACGGTGGTGGTGGGGACAGTGGTGTGGGGACGGGGAGGTGGAAACAGTGGGACAGTGGAGGGTACAGTGGTGGTGGGACAGTGGTGAAGGCGGTGGCGAGGACGGCGGTGGGACAATGGGACAGAGGTACAGTGGGGACAGTGGTGGGGACAGTGGGGACAGTGGTGGGAAGAGTGGGACAGCTCAGTGGGACAGCGGAGGAGTCAGTGGGACAGTGGGGACAAGGGGGATAGTCGGGCAGTGGTTGGGGCCGTGGAGAAAGTGGGGAGAGTGGAACCGTGGTGGGAACAGTGGTGGGGACAGTGGGGACAGTGCGACAGTGGTGGGAGCACTGGTGGGGACAGTAGGGACGGTGGTGGAACCAGTGGGGACAGTGGTGGTGAGGACAGTGGTGCTGGGAACAACAGTGGGGGATGTGGCGCGGACGGTGGTAGGGACCGGGAGTCGTTTGCTGGCGGTGAGGGGGGGGGGTGGGGAGGGGTTCGAACCGGTAGTGAGCCCCCCTCCAATTTTCGGGGGGGGGGGGGTTCGAACCGGAAGTGACCCCTCCCGGTTTTCGAGGGGGAGGGGGGGGGTGTTAGGGGAGAGGGGGGGTTTTGCCGGGGGAGGGGAGGGGAGGGGGGATGGGGGGGGGGTCCAGCAGGGGGGGATTTTCGGGGGGGGGTAAGGGGGGAACCCCGGGCTCCAGAGGAAGAGGGGGGCAATTTTCCACAGTAAAGCGGCGGTGGATCACGCTCTCTCTGACACATGTATGCCTACATATACGATGCAATATCTGCAGTGTCGTGCCATGTATATGGTGTAAGCAATGTGATGTAAGACATGTGTACGTTATTACTGGTGTAGCTGCATAGTGTAAGCTATGCCACACCCTGTATGCGATGTGAGCTGGGTGTTCTGTGAGCCGTGTGGTGCCAGCTCTGTGCTGCAAGCCAGGTGGCAAACGCTGGGCAGTGCAAGCCACGCTATGTGAGAAAAGGGCTCCGTGGTGCAGGCCGTGCGGCCGCCCAGCGCACGACGCGACCACGAGGCCCCCACGGGCGGGCCGCAGGCGAAGCCTCGATTGACCCACCCGCCCGCCCGAGGTGCCCACAGGCCGGCACCGGGCGAGGCCTCGGCCGACCCACCCGGCGCGCGAGATGCGCCCACGGGCGGGCACCGGGCGAGGACTCTCGGCAGGCCCGCCCGGCGCAGGAGGCGCCCAGGCGGCGACTGCAGGCGGGGCCCACCACTAGGGGAACAAAACGTGGCATGAACATAAAACTCGGAGGTCCGCGCGGATTTCTCGGATCGGCGCTGGGACCCCCCAGCGGCGCCTCCGGCGCCGCCCCTGGCGCGCTCCGCGCGCCAGGGAGGGGGGTCCAGCGCCAATCCGAGAAATCCGCGCGGACCTCCGAGTTATTGTATGTATGCTACTTCTTGTTCCCCTAACCACCACACCAACCTTCGCCTTCTTCCTCCAGCCTTGCAGCGCTCCGTGTTGCACGCTCGCTGCGGCGAGCGCATCTGCACATCATAGTTGCGCTCCTCTCGTGTTCGGAACGCCGTGCCACTCGTGCACCGACTGCTACGCCTTATTTGCCAAGACACAAGAGATCGCAGCGACGAGCTGCCTGTTCGCGACCGAAACCAATGGAGCAAGGACTATTGCTTCCGCGTATCGTCTCTAGCAATTATCCTTCTCGTCGTCGCCGTCGCCCTCCCCCCTCCACTCGTCTTCCTCGTCCTCCTCGTCGTCCTCCTCCTCCTCCCTCCCCTCGCGCGCGGGAGGGAGTGAGAGAGGGAGAGGGGGATGGCGAGACAGCGAGTGAGATGGAGGACGAGAGAGCGAGAGCGAGAGCGGAGCACCGAAGCACACCGCCAGCGGGGCGGAGCGCACGCAAGTGGGCCCGAGCGCCAGGAGCCGGAGGCCGGAGCGCCGAAGCCCAAGGCCAGAGTCTACGTGCGTGCTTTTTTGCGTTGGAAATCGATGCCTCGGAGGTGGATAGACCTCCTACCCTGACACGTCGATTAGTGAATGGGCCGTTTTCGGTTCGCGAGAGGGCGTCGCGGCCGTCATCTTTGCGGGTCCGGGTCCGTCGGTTTCGGTCCCAGGCCGTTTTCACTAAGGGGAGGCTTACTAAAGGGAAGCTTGTCCACGGCCGAATGCCCATGAGCCCGAGGCCAGAGTTTGTCCAGACATGCTCGTGTTGTACAAGGATCACGACGGACGGTTTTCGCCAGTTTTTGGCCTCCAGGGGCCCTCGCCAGGCCTCGGGGGTGTCAAGGAACGACTCGGAGTGACCAAAAGCGGTCCTAGGGTTTCAATAGTCTGGGGGCGACGTTTCTATTGTTTCTGATGTTGTGAGCACTGTTTGATTACTGTTTGTTTTCTGTCAGAGCCCGCCTGTAGGAGGACATGCCCGGCCTAAGGGTATCCTTGGCCCCCTCCCTGGTAGGCCTCGCCAGGCTCCCCGAGTAGTCCAGGGCGGGCTCAACACCCCGGCGCCGCCGGTCCGCGTCCCAGGGTTGGGATGTCGAGACCGCCCCGGGCTTCTCGGGGTGCCCGTTGAGGCCAGCTGGGATTACTCGGCGTGCCTGTAGACAATGGAGGATACAAGAACCCCTAACCCTAATGAAACGACGACTCACTGAGGTCCCCGTCTTCGCATTTGGGGCATTACATCTGGGGAGCTTGGTTCGATACATCTGCAGAAAAGACCCCCTATCCCTAATGTTCCAGGCCCTCCTAACTTAGGTCCCCTCCCAAATGGTTTGGGGTCATTTTATGCCTCATCACGTGGACGCTCTGCTGCTCTGCTTCACAGTCGGGCACTGTATGTGTGTGTGTGTGTGTCGTAGTCTTGATGCGTTTTTGCGTCTGCTTCACAATCGAGTCGTCGCGCCGTCTCGGTGGTGCTGCTTTTTTCCAGAAGAGGTGCCGATTGCGCACTCCCCTGCCCACACGTCCTGGTGTGCTTGTTTGTTGCGCGGCTTCCGTTTCGTGCAGATCGTAGTTGTAATGTGCTTCTGGTGTTGCGCTTCTGTATCGAGTGATGCGCATGCTGACGCGTCTCTTTACAGTTATCCTTTTCATGTTCGGATCCTTGTACTCCAAATCCATTGCTAATCGTCCCCCAGGTCCGGTTTTTTAAGGCGTTTTTTGTAATTGTGGGGCTCCAGTTTATTAGGGCGCTTTCTTTGGATTGGAGCTTAGGGGGTCCTTTTTATTAAGGCGCCCCGTCGAAGAGGGGGGGTCCCGAATATCAGGTCGAATTTGGAGGCGGGTCCGGTTTTTTTTGGGGGGGTCGATTAATAAGGGATTTGGAGTAGCTCTGTTGACACGGGTGGCTGGGATGGGTCTCCGTGCGCAGAGCCGCAAGCGGAGCCAACCAGACTGATCACGCAACCGGAGCCAACCAGAGGGCTCCGAGGGTGGGAAAGAAGGGACCGGACGATTCGAACACGGCTGCGCATCGATCGTTGAGAGTAGGCATTTCTGGAGTCTCAGATTCTTTTTTCTACTACTTCTAAGGATTCACATATTCCTGGTAGTACTTCTAGCGACTTCCTACTTCAAGGATCGGCATGATTTTGAGTTGTTTGGTCATGCTCTGGGAGGGCCTGAACCTAATCTGATGTATCAGCCTTCCTACTTCATGTTTGTACATACTTCTTCTGGCCAACGTGTAATCGTTGTGCCAGCGTTGTCGGCTTTTGGCACGGGGACATGAAGATGTAAAACACAGCATCGACATGGCGCATCCCTGCACACTTAACCATGAGCCAGGCAGTTATGGGCCTCACTCGGGTGTTCTTTCTGCCATTGTGGAGTGCATGTGGGCTGTCTTGGGGCCTTCTCAGGCTGCCTTGGAGCCATACCTCGACATCGGCCTCCGTCGCCGCTGTTCAGGAGGGGGAAAAACACACAGACACAATTCATCGTCGTCTCCCCGGAAAATATGGGAAAATATGGGAAGTGGGGGGGAAGGCAAAAACCCGGAAAATATGAGAAAAGATTGGGGAATCCTGTCATTTGTGTGTGTATATATATATATGTGTGTGTGTCCTTGGGCCCCTTCAGCTGTAACTTCCCCGAGCAGCTCCTGCACTTGGAGAGGCTCTTCCTCCTGTGCTGCGGCAGGCGGGCCCCGGTGGCGGTCCGGTCGGCTCGTCGCCGCCGGTCGCCGCCGCCGCCGTGGTGCCCCGGTGGCGGCCTCGCTGGCTCGTCGCCGCCCGTCGCCGCCGTGGCCTCCGGGCCCAGGCAGCGATGCGGCCCGCTCGCCCCGCCCGTCGCCGCGTGGCTTTGTGCAGCGCGTTGCATCGAACGGCATTGCGTTGCGTTGCTTTGCGTTGATTTGCGTTGCTTTGCTTTGCGCTGCTTACCATTGCTTTGCATTGCTCTGCATTGCTTTGCATTGCTCTGCATTGCTCTGCATTGCTCTGCATTGCTTACCATAATTCTGCATTGCTCTGAAGTGCTCTGCATTGCTGTGCGTTGCTGTGGGTTGCGTTGCGTTGCTATGCACTGCGGTGTCATTGCCTTGGCCAAATTTGGCAGTGCGTTGGCACTGCTTTGGCATTTAGTTGCATCGCTGCGCACCACATAGATTTCATCACATGGATTGCACCACCTATACTTTACCACACTCATTGCACGACCTGGATCACACCGCATAGATTATGAGCAATCACTGTTTGGGGTCCACGAGGAACGCCACTACACAAATAGACTCGATTGAGGCACGTCCAGTTGTGCTCCCTGATCTGTTCTCGGCATGGGCTGCAGCGGTACCAGGCATCCATTCAGGGCTCGTCTCGATCCCTCCGATTCGATTCGACTTCGATGGCCTCCGATTCCGATTCGATTCGACTTGGGAGTCCGATCTGGGCTCCGATTCCTCAATGGAGGCCTACTATCCTGCCGATCTCTGCCGATTAGACTTCTCCCGACTCGGCTGACGACTTCCGCTGATCCGATTCGCTTCGATTGCCGATCTGACTTGTCGGTTCGATTCTGGGCTCTCCTGTCCATCCTCGAGTCGTCCAGGGGGCAGCCTTCAGTGCCGTTTTTTATACATGCTCCGCGTGCGGATCATGTATAACAAAATGCAGGGATTTAGTATTATCCTGGCGAAGGACCCAACCATATGCAATTGTGAATACCGCTTTGTGCGTGCCGCTTTCGGTGGGGCTCCCTATGGGGCCACGAAAGGCGTGCCACGAAACGCTGTCCTGGGCGTACGGGACGCATGTGGGCGGTAGCACTGGGGCCTTTGGTGGAGCTCCCTATGGAGCCACGAAGCGCTGTCCTGGGCGTACGGGACGCATGCGGGCGGTAGCACTGGGGCCCTCGGTGGAGCTCCCTATGGGGCCACGAAACGCTGTCCTGGGCCCTCGGCGACGAAACGTGTGAGGGGTGTGCCGAAATGGGTGCGGTGCCGCCATGCCAACGCAGCCACTGGGGCTCTCGGTGGAGCTCCTTATGGGGCCACGAAACGTCTGAGGGGGGTGCCGAAATGGGTGCGGTGCCGCCATGCCAACGCAGCCACTGGGGCCCTCGGTGGAGCTCTCTATGGGGCCACGAAACGTCTGAGGGGTGTGCCGAAATGGGTGCGGTGCCGCCATGCCACAGCCACTGGGGCCCTCGGTGGAGCTCTCTATGGGGCCACGAAACGTGTGAGGGGTGTGCCGAAATGGGTGCGGTGCCGCCATGCCAACGCAGCCACTGGGGCTCTCGGTGGAGCTCCTTATGGGGCCACGAAGCGTGAGAGGGGGGTGCCGAAATGGGTGCGGTGCCGCCATGCCAACGCAGCCACTGGGGCCCTCGGTGGAGCTCTCTATGGGGCCACGAAACGTGAGAGGGGTGTGCCGAAATGGGTGCGGTGCCGCCATGCCAACGCAGCCACTGGGGCTCTCGGTGGAGCTCCCTATGGGGCCACGAAACGTGTGAGGGGTGTGCTGTGATAGTGGGAGGAGGGAAGGGGCAGAGGGAGGAAGGAAGGAGTGAGCGCGGGGCGCTGTCTCTTCAAAACGAGGGCCCAACACCACAGGATGTTTGGGAATTAAAAACAACGAGGAGTTCATTCATACATGTATTCATAAATCAATCATGTATTCAAATCCGATGTGTTTAAATAAACATCCTATGTATTAAAAACTGCCCTGTTGGATTTCGATGCGAGAGCGTGGTGCACTGGTGACCCACCGGGGTGCTGCGCGGGCCCAGGCCGGCGTTGGGCGCGCGCGCGCCCTGCCCTCCCTCCCCATCCTCCCTCCCTCCTGCCTCCTCCCTCTCCTGCCTCCTCCCTCCTGCCTCCTCCCCTCCTCCCTCCTCCCCTCCTCCCTCCTCTCCTCCTCCCCTCCTCCCTCCCCTCCTCCCCTCCTCCCCTCCTCCCCTTCTCTCCTCCTTCCCTCCTCCCCTCCTCCCCTCCTCCCCTCCTCCCCTCCTCCCCTCTTCCCCTCCTCCCCTCCCCGCCCCCCCGCCCCCCCCCCGCGCCCTCCCGTCTCTTCGTCCCTTCGTCTGCCGTTTCCTCCTTCCTCTGCCACTGGGCGCTTCGTTTTGGGGCTCGTGTCGATTCCTCCGATTCGGCTCGATCCGGTTTGGATGGATTCCGATTCCGAATCGATTCAATTTCGGATTCTGATTTGGGACCCGATTCCCCATTGGAGGCCTAGAAGCCAGTCGATGTCTGCCGATTCGGCTTTTCCCAACTCGGCTGCCGATTCCCGTCGATCCGATTCATGTCGATCGCCGAAATGGCTTGTTGATTCGAATCTGGGCTCTCCTGCCACTCGCGTTGGTAAACACACAAAAGTGCTGGGCCCAGGCCAAGACGGTCGGCGAGTACCTCGGAGACGGGCTCGTGCTCAAGAGGCCCGCCGCCGCAAGCAGCGCGAAGGCAGCACCCCCCCTTCCATGCGCGCACGCTTGTCACTCTCGGCATCGCTCGGACGTGTGCGCTTCTTCCTCGGCGAGGACCATCGAGGAGCATCCTTGATCGTTTTGGGGACAAGACCACGCACGGCACCGAACAAAAACACAGGGAGTGGACGTCCGAGCGATGGCGGGTACCAGTCCTGGCGAGCGCGGCCTCTCCGAGGGCGCGGCGCGCGGGAGCGCCCGCCGCGCCGCGGCGGGGAGAGCCCCTCGCAAGCTAGCAGCTGCACGTGCGCGCGTGCACCAGAGGGGACAACCGAGAAGTCCGTGCGGAGCCCCAAACTTTTGTATGTTTACGGCCATGGTTCTTTTTACTCCCTACCTAGGCTCTGCCCAGAAGGGTTCTTACCGTGAGTGCTTAAAGGGCCGGGCAGTGTTGCCCGCCCCGGGCGGTTCCCCCAGGATCCGCCCCGCGGTTCCCCCAGTTTCCGCCCCGCGGTTTCCCCAGTCGTTTTGCTTATCTTAGCTTAGCTTAGCCTAGCTTAACTTAGCTTACCTTAGTTTAGCTTAGCTTAACTTAGCTTAGCCTACCTAGCCTAGCTTAGTGTTGCTTAGTTTAGCTTAGCTAAGCCTAGCCTGGCTTAGCTTAGCTTAGCTTAGCTGAGCTTAGCTTAGCTTAGCTTAGCGCAGCGCAGCATTAGCACAGCATAGCATACCATAGCATAGCATATCGTAGCATAGCATAGCATAGCGCAGCATATCATACCGCATCATAGCATAGCATAGCATAACATATCGCAGCATATCATATCATAACATAGCATAGCATAGCATAGCGCAGCACATCATATCATATCATCGCCTAGCATAGCATATCATAGCGCAGCATCGCATAGCACATCATAGCATAGCATAGCGCAGCATAGCATATCGTAGCATAACATAGCATAGCGCATCACATCATATCATATCATACCATATCATAGCACAGCGCAGCATAGCATAGCATAGCATAACATAGCATACCATAGCATAGCATAGCGCAGCATAGCATAGCGTAGCATACCATAGCATAACATAGCATAGCATAGCGCATCATAGCATAGCATAGCATAGCATAGCATAGCATAGCATAAACGCAAAGGCAAATCAACAACAGCAACAGCAAAGCAAAGCAAAGCACAAGCAATGCAAAGCAAAGCAAAGCAAAGCAAATCAAAGCAAAGCAAAGCAAAGCAAAGCAAAGCAAACACAAAAGCAAAGCAAAGCAAAGGCAAAGCAAAAGCCATGTGCGACAGGTGCCGAGCTAGCCTCGATGGCCGGACCGGAGTCCCCGCAAGCAGTGCTGAACAGCCTGCAGCTCTTGCAGGAGCCGCGAGCATTGTTACTACTAATATTGCTCTCCTCGGGGCTCCAACTCCTAGGGTCGCTCTGGGATAATTATTCTTCAGATTCTGCTTACTATTATGTCATTTATAGTCATTATTATTGTGAATTTTCTTATTTCCTTCTTCTATGAGTGCAGCGCGCACGTTTCGGGAGGAGAGCGCAGGCCCCCGCTCCCTGGTTGCGCACCGCGCCCACCCATTCTCGACTGGCCTCCAGAGGGAACTTTGGAAGGACTGTCGGTTTGATCCGCCTTGGTGGCAAAGCTGCAAGTATAGAGCACGTGCGCATCAATTACACCAGAGAAACCCCAACCAGTGGATGGTTTGAAATGGGATCGATAAAAGGATCGATGAGGAGGTCGACCGGGAACCCGGGAACCCACCGACATCGGTCCGGAGCCAATACCCAGGAACCCGGGAACCCGGAACCGGGAACCCGGGAACCCAGCCGGCTACCAACATCGGCGGGAAATGTTCGCCAAATCTTTCAATTTCCGCTAGGACCCCTTCAGTGCAAGCACTGATTGGGGAAAATATTAAACGTACAGTTGCAACATAAGCTGATAGTGCAGAGGCATACGCTCACGGCGACACCGCACGTGGTACACAGCAAGTAGAGTGAGGAAGGACAAGGTGGTTGGATGGCGCATTGGAGATGGGAGAGAGGTTTTGGGAGAAAGAGGTGGACGAGACGAGGCAAGGCGGGAAGTGACGAGAAGACAGCGTGCGATGAAAGACGAGGTGATAGTTTTGGGCCATCACTTGTTTATGTGATAGCGGAGGGGGCATACGTGAAGGAGGGAGAGGGAGAGACGGAGAGACGGAGAGGCCGACGGAACGATTCGCACAAGCCCTCGCGTATCTATCACCACGCAGAAGCGAAAAGTTCCACCCCCTTTCCCATGTTGCACCACGGAGCCGATCGGGGTTGGGGTCCAAGGTGCACGAGCGGGCCGTCCTCTTGCGCATTCTGGGTGGACGGAGGCCCAGAGGCAGCATGACACTCCCTGCCTCTGGCGCGTGTGATTCAGGAGGGAAAAAACACACAGGCACAATTCATCGTCGATTGCCCCGAAAATATGGGAAAATACGGGCCGTGGGGGGGAAGACAGAAGCCCCGAAAATATATGTGGAAATATGGGGAATCCTTTTATTTGTGTCTGTGTTTATTTGTGTGCCCGAGGGCCCCTTCAGTGATTTCTCCATCCCCCGCGTTCTCCATGCGGCCTGCTACGGGCGGCGCTCCGCGTGGCAGCAGGCCTCCTCGGACGGGCGGCCTCGTGGCCTCTCGGCAGCCGCCCGGCCTTCCGAGAGGCCGCCTCCGTCTTCAGAGAGGCCTGTGGATCGGGCGATCGCAAGCATGGATTCACAGGGGAACAAAAAGTGGCATGAACATGAAAACTCGGAGGTCTGCGCGGATTTCTCGGATCGGCGCTGGACCCCCTCTCTGGCGCGCGGAGCGCGCCAGGGGCGGCGCCGGAGGCGCCGCCGTGGGGCCCCAGCGCCGATCCCGAGAAGTCTGCGCGGACCTCCGAGTTTGTATGTTCATGTCACTTGTTGTTCCCCTAATTCAGGGGGCGTGGATTAGCGATGGATTTCCGCCGCCGCATTTTGGGGAGGGCGCCTCCCCCGATCCATGGGTTTGGTGACCACGCGCCAGATCCATGGATCGCTAATCCGTGTTTGCCCGAGGCCTTCTGAGCCTTCTGTCGAAGAAAAAACACGCAGTAAACATAAACATAAACTGTTTGGCGCTCCGCGCGGATTTCTTGGATCCGCGCTGGGCCCCCCCAGCGGCGCCTCCAGCGCCACCCCTGGCGCGCTCCGCGCGCCAGGGAGGGGGGTCCAGCGCAGATCCACGAAATCCGTGCGGACCGTTGAAAGTGTGCGTGCGATTTTGTCTCTTCTATTCTGAGAAGACCGCCTCCTTCTGCCATCCCTCGCAGGCCTCGAGGTTGACACCAACACCAATATCGTCGGTGTGCCTTCACCGAGGGAAGAAGATCCCGATCTCGGTGATGGTGGTCATACTATGGCTTCCGAGGCGGCCGGAATATTACCACCAACGTCGAAATTTGGGATCAGTTTCCCCCTGTGGAGGCACCCCCCTGCGTTGGTGTTGGTGCCCACTTCCAGGCCTCCAAGTCTCAGAAGCCAGGGGAAGGCTGGCAAAACCGTGGCTGTCAAATCGGAGCTCCGGAACATTGTTTTCTTCTTCCGGGAAGCCGCCGGTGTGCTGTTATGCGTGTCCAGTTTTATTATGGGTGTGTGTGTGTGCGTGTGTGTGTGTGTGCGTGTGTGTGTGTGTGTGCGTGTGTGTCTTTGTGTGTGTGTGTGTTCTTCTTCCGGGAAGACAGACCTTTTTACCCCCCGGCGCGTCGCCGAGCAGCGCTCCCCGCGCCCTCCGCTCGCTCGCTCGCCGCGCGGCCGGCCTCCGGACGTCCAAAATCGCGATCCCTCCTTCCCACCACCCCAGTTTCGGGTCGGGCGAAAGGGGGGGTTTGGGAAAGGGGGGGTTACGAAATCTGCTGCATGCAGCTGGTTTCGGCCCGACCGAGGGGCCCATTCCTCGATACATGGGCGCCTCCGGCGCCGGGAGGCGCCGGGAAAATCAGCTACGTGAGCTGATTCTCAAACCCCCCCTTTGCTATCCCCCCCTTTCGCCCGACCCGACAGTTGGGGACATGCCCCTCGAAGCCCGAAGGACACAGCCGATGTGTCCCCGTCTGGCGGAGTAGATCGGCCAGTGGGGCGCGCGGGCCACGCCGGCGGGGATGGGGATCGGTGGAATGCTCAGTGAGCCCCTACAGTGGAGGCGCGTGCCAAGAAACACCCTGCTTGCCTCCTGGGTGCACAAGTCATGCACACTGTGCTTCTGGCGAAGGCCCGCAAACCTGAGTGCATACATGTGCGGCACCAGTGGAGAAGATGCCGATACCGCTGGTCTTCCTGGAGAGCCCTCATCGCCATGGCCGGACGGGTCTGGAGATCCTGGTCAGAACGCACGCCGGGAGAGGTCTAGGAAACAGTGGTATCGGCAATGGTCTCATTTCTATGATCTTCATATTCTCTTTGTATGTTTTCGCTGCCCGTCCATGTAGATGCTAAGGGACAGAGTTGTCTTGCCGTCTGCCTCCGCTCCACCCCTTCTGCGGAGGCAGCCAAGGAGAAGAAGGCCGCCGTGCTCAGGCGGGCCATATCGCAACCAGTGTAGATGCCATGCGCTGCTTATTCCTTCGTGTCTCCTCTTCACCGCACATTGCGTGGAATCAAAACCGTAAACGCCGACTACTTCAAGCTAGAGCCAGTTCTCGGGCATTCGACGTCGTGGGACTCCTACAAGAGGGGACGGGCGAAGTCAAGGCGACTGGGGGAGGGAGGTCCCGCCCGTGGTCTTTATTGTAGTCGTGGGGGTCGTCGTCGGGCGGGCTGGATAATGCTGGGGCTTCTTTCTCCCAGGGGGTAATCCATTGTGGGCTACACGCGAGAAGAATAGGAAGCATCTTCTCATGATGATTGCAATCAGCGGCTGGGGCTGTAGCCATGAATGTAGTCGTGGTAGTAATCGTGATTGGAATCGTGATTGTGCTCGTGATTGTAGTTGTAATCGTAGTCGTGGTTGTAGTCGTAATCGTTGTCGTAATCGTGGTCGTCGTCGTCGTCGCGGCGGAGACTAGTTTCCCTCTAATGTTGGCGGGCGGGATAGTGTTGGGGAGTTCTTCCTCCTAGGGGGCTCTCAATTGTGGCCTACCCTACTCGCGAGAGGATTTGTGTATCTTCTCATGAGGACTGTAGTAGGGATTGTAGTCGTGGTTGTAATCCCGATTGCAATCGTGATTGCAGTCGCGATTGGAGTCGTGATCGCAATCGTGGTTGTAGTCGTGATCGTAGTCGTACTCGCAATCGGCGCCGTAGTCGTGGTCGTAATCGTCGTAGTCGTCGTCGTTTCTTTGCGGCGGGTGCCGCGGACAAATTGGAATGTCCCACCATGGTGGGATCCCAGTCCGTCAAGAAGGTCGCCGACAAGATACTTAGTTTACGCTTCTGGGGGGTTCTAAAGACCTTTCGCGGTTGACTGCAAGCTCACTACACTCAGATCACTCATGCTCAGACTCAGTAACTCCCACGTGCACTCAAACTCAGCCTCACTGGCATTCAGACATGTTCATACTTAGACCACTCGCACTCGTATTCACTGATACTCAGACTCACTCTGGTTCAGACCCACTCATATTCAAACTCGCACCTACTCTGACTCATTCAAGTCAGATCCAGACTCATACACACAGCACTCGTAAAGTCAGAATTCCATGCTAATCGCGATGCAGCAGGCGTGGCATTTGAGCACACCAAGGAGGAGCCGCCAGCGGTGGTGACATTTGCCCGTTCGCCGCGTCAGAACCCCATGCCCGTTGCCTTGTAGCAGGCCGGGCTTCTGAGCGGAGCACCCAAAGGGGGAACCGCCAAGAGTGGGGAAAGTTGCCTGTTCGTGCCCTCCTGGTAGGAATGTCTTAGGCGGTGGTCTTGTTTGGTGGTTTGGACGTCTCTCGTTTCAGAGCCTCATGCTGATCGCGATGTAGCAGGCGTGGCATTTGCGCACGCCAAGGGGGATCCGCCTGGGGTAGGGACATTTGCCCGTTCATGCCCAGCCGGTGATGATGTCTCAGGCGGTCTGTTTGTTTGGTTGATTGGAGTTCTCTATTTCCAGAGCCTCATACTCATCGAGATGCAGCAAGGATGGCTTTTCGGCACGCGAGGAATGAGCCGCCAGGGGTGGGGACATTTGCCCGATCGCGCTCAGATTGTGGGGATGTCTCAGGCGTTTTGCCTGTTTGGTTGATTGGACTTTTCTCTTTTTCAGGGCCCCATGCCCACCGCTGGATGTAGCAGGCGTGGAATCTGAGCACCCCAAGGGAGAGCCGCCAGGGCTGCGGGCATTCTCCGCGCTCAGGATGTCGTAATGATTCAGGCGATCTGTTTTGTTGTTTGAGTAAACGTCTCTGTTTTCAGAGCCCCATGCTCGTCGCGACGCAGCAGGCGTTGCAGTTGAGCGCTCCAAGCAGGAGCCGCAACGGGCGGAGACATGTGCCCAATCGCGCCAAGGGTGTGGTGATGTGGCAGGCGGTTTGCCTGCTTGGTGGCTCGTGCTTCTCTCGCTCCAGAGCCCCATGCCCATCCCGCAGTAGCAGGCGAGGCATGGGAACCCACCGAGGAAGACCCGCCAGGGGTGGGGGCAGCTGCTTGTTCGAGCCCAGAGTGAGGGGATGTACCAGGCGTTTTGCCTGTTTGGTTGACTGGATTTTTCTTTCTGCAGGGCCCCGTGCTCACCGCGATGACGTAGACGTGGCACTTCGTGTGCCCCTTCGCGCCCACACTGTCGTGATGTCTCAGGCGGTTTGCCTCCTTGGTGACCCTTGAGGACCATCCTGGACTATTGAGCAAAGAAAACACGCACGAAACTGGCAAATGCAGGGGAAATGGACGTCCGAGCGACGGCAAGAGCAGGTTGTGAGGGTTTCTCTCGCGTGTCGTGGGTTGTCGCATCCCTTGGGGGGGGTGTCTCGGGCGGTTTGCCTGTCGGGTGGCTCAGACGGCGGTGCTTCCAGCACAGACTGTGAGGCCGTCTCGAGCGAGGCTTTGGTTGCGCACCTCAGGGAGGAGCAGCCAAGGCCAGGACATGTGCGCGCTCGCGCCACGACTGTGTGGATGTCTCGGGCGGCTTGCCTGTTCGGTGGCTTGGACGTCGGTGCTTCCAAAACGGAGTGTAAGGATGTCTCGAGCGAAGCGCTGGTTTTGGTACCTCAGGTGGCTGGATCGTGGGGGTGCATCATGCATCGAGCGAGTCGCCCGGTTGTGGCACCTCTGGAGCCTGTTCATTCCGAGCCCCATGGTCATCATTTCGGTGTGCGGAGAGGGACGGCTGCCAGAGGGGAGGACGGAGGATATAGATGAGGAGGACGCAGGAGGAGGGAGAAAGGAGGAGGTACGATGAACAGAGAAGGGGGTACGACGAGTGTCTGTGCCTCCCAGATGGGGTCCGAGTAGCTGGGGTCGGAGGATCGCGCCGTATCCTCAATGCATCGGCGATGCGGCTCGATGTGGAGCCCGATTTTCTCCACGCTGGCGTCGCCGATGCGTCGCCGATGCGTCGCCGATGCATCGCCGATGCGTCGACGATGTATCGCCGATGTATTGGCGATGCGGCGCGATCCTCCGACCCCGTCTACTCGGACTACATCTGGGAGGCCTCTAGAGTGGTAAGAGGAAGGAGAGGTGAGGGGGCCTCCACACCGCCCCCCCTGTCTTTGAGCCGTCGTTGATGCCGTCCCGCATCGTAGCCGTCGCCGTCGTCGTCGTCGTCGTCGTAATCGTTGTCCACTCGGACTCGCTCCCACATCCAGACAATCACGGCCAGACGCTTACAGCTTGACGTGCCAGGGCATGAGATGCACATATGGGGGTCTCCATTTTGAGTGGATGCCCGTCTGAAATGCACAGCGCCAGGAAATGCACACATGGCCAGGAATGGGAGATGGGTGCCAGGAAATGGGATGCACACATCGATGCCGGGACATGAGCTGCGCGTCTCTTCCGTCGCAGTTGTGCCGGTTCCGTAAACGTTTCTTTGGCGGTTCTCAATCCAATTTTGGCGCGTTGTTGTTCCCCGTTTGGTGAATCGCTCTATGAGCGGTCTCATGTTCAAGAGCCAAGTGCAGTGGGGGCCCATGCCAAGGAACACCCTGCTCGCCTCAAGGGTGCCCTAGGTTTCTGGGGCTTCGATGGTTGTTTCTGTGGAAGGCGCGACGTTCCCGCATCAGGAACCGATGGACGTCCTGGGGTCTCAGGGTTGGGTTTCATGTGGATGGTGTCTTGAGGTCGGGCCTCCACTGTATCCGGAATCGATGAAAACGTGTGGCCCTGGTGGGGCGCGAAGGTAGGTTCAGGAGGGAAAAAAACACACAGACACAATTAATCGTCGATTCCCCAAAAAATATGAGAAAATATGGGAAGTGGGGGGGAAGACAGAAACCCAGAAAATATATGAAAATATGGGGAATCCTTTTGTTTGTGTGTGTATTTATTTGTGTGTCCCAAGGCCCCTTCATAGGTGTGCGTTTGCGCGTCGCGGCATCGACCCGAGCGCTGCCCTCCTCCAATGGGTGGCCTCGCGAGGGCCCGAGACGGCGGCGCCCTGCGGGGCGCGGCGTGCGAAGTTGGGCGACCTGCGTACAGTGCCGTTTTCTATGCATGCTCCGCGTGCGGATCATGTGTTAAAAATGCAGGGATCTAGTACTAAAAGCAACGATGAGTTCATGCGTAAATTTATTCATGAATTAATAGTGTATTAAAAATCCTATATTTTTAAAACACATGCATGAAAATGGGAAGAATGTTGGAGGCCTCGCGCGCCTGGCAACAGGCGTGGCATCTCCCCGCAGGCCCGCCCCGTCGGATGTGGGCCGACGTTCGCGCGGAGGGGCCCCGGTGCCAGTCCGGCGCGACTCTGGCACGAACCCGCTGGGAACCCGACGTTAATCAAGGGCATAACAAACGCCCCTACCCTGGTTTGCGAGGCGCTGTGCGCTGAAACTCCTGTGGGCAGACAGGGTAAACCTTGCGTGATGTGCCGCGTCCTGGCGGCTCTAGGCTTTGGGGGTTCCCAGGAGGTTTACAGACCACGCACTTGTAACCCAGGATAGGGCCGTTTTTGATAAGAAGGCGCGATTCCGACGCGGATCCGACGTACCTCGGGTCTCAAGTTGCCGCCCGAGGTCTCCAGGATGTTCTTCGTAAGCCTACAGGAGTGCGGGGGGGAGGGGTACGTAGGAGGAGCAGGACGCAGACGAGGCCACCTCCTTGCACCCCTCGGCCAGCCTCGCGCGGTCTCTGCCCCAGGACCCTCCAGAAGGAGAAGGCAGAAGCCAAGCAGGCCCTGAAGCTCAAGGAGACCGGTTAGGGTGGCGGGCGCCCGGGACTGGGTGGCTGGATGAGGCTCGGAGGAAGAAGAGGAGGAGGAGGAAGAGGAGGAGGGAGATCAGTACGATCGATTGGGCACAGAAAGAACGGGCGCGAAGACCGACAGCATTTCTTCTTCACGTTGTCCCCTTCAAGGCAGGGCCGCGTGTCAAACCGCGGCCGCTGTCGGTCTTTTGGAGAACATCTCTTGTTGGGCATCGCACCCATGTTTTCCGTACCCACGTCGGGCGTCCCAAGAGGAGGTGGATGAGAAGGGAAGCGGTTTTGCGATTTTGCCTCCGTTTCGCCGTGCCTCCCCCCCCCCCCCCCGAGTCCCCCCGAGGGCCGGCCAGAGGACGGGGCTCCCCCGCCCCCTACTCCGCTCCCTGGGGGGTCCCTCCCCTCTCACGTGGCTCCTTCCCCGCCCATGCAAAGGCCTTGCGGCAGGTGCCGCCGACCCTGAAGGGGGACGACGATGACGACGACGACGACGACGACGACGACGACGACGACGACGACGACGACGGCTACGGCGACGGCGACGGCGGCGACGACGACGACGACGACGACGGCGGCGGCGACGACGGCGACGGCGACGGCGACGGCGACGACGACGACGACGACGACGACGGCGACGGCTACGGCGACGGCGACGGCGACGGCGACGGCGACGGCGACGGCGACGGCGACGGCGACGGCGACGGCGACGACGGCAACGACGACGGCAACGGCGACGACGACGGCGAGAAGATGATGACGATGACGACGATGACGACGACGACGATCACGGCGACGACCGAACAAAGCTCGAAATCTACACGGATAGTCATTGAATGTGCCATCCAGAGATTCTCGTGGGTTTCTTGTGTGGGTTTCTTGGGCATATTGGGGGCCTCTTCGGGGCTTCGTGGGCGCCTCTCGGGGCCTCCTTGGGGCCTCTTGCGGCGGAAGGCTCGAAATGACGGCCGGTGTTCCCCCCCTATCGGGCGCCTCTTTGGGCCCTCTCCGGCCGTCCGGGGGGCCTCTCGGGCCGTCCTGGTGCTGTCTCCGACGGGAGGTTGTTGTCTTAGCCCAGTGCCAGCTGCAGGCTGCGGGCAATCTCCCCATGCCGCCTTGTCCGGCATGGGCCTGTCGATCTCGGATCGGTTCGTCGATCGAGGATCGCCTCTTTTCCCGGGAGGGCGCCCTGGCTCAAGGGCCCCAAACGGCAGCGGGGCGCAAGAGCATCAGGAAAGATGGGGGACAAGTAAAACGACGCGAAGATCGGGACAAAATCGGATCGGGATAACTCGAAATCTCTGAGAATCGGCGGGTTTGGAGGATGTATTGGGCGCCGCGGCCGCTCCAGAGCGTTCCAGAACGCTCTGAGAGCGCTCCGGAACGCTCTGGAGCGATTTATCCCGATCCTAGCCCTGTTTTAACAAGGAGAAACAAGGCGAGAAGGATGAAGCGAGAGGTGACACATCTAAATGGTGAAGGGCCTACGGTTGAGAGGCGTGTGCGGTGGTGCCAAACTCGGCCACGCGCAGCGGGGGGTGGGGGGATGGGGGAAGGCTTCTCAGAAGCACCGCTGCTTCTCAGAAGGGGCGGGCACTGTCTAAAGATGTAAGCCCCGCGCCTTCTCAGAAGCAGCTCCCCCCCTCCCCCTTCGTGTTCGTTTTTGATTCACCGTTTTGCCGATGGGCGCGGGCCCCTCCCACCCCCTCGTGGAGTAGATCTTCCCCATGGGACGCACGGTTCCAAACAGTCGCATTAAGCAGAGGTTCGGAACCAGACCCCCCCGCCCCCTTCCCGCTCTCTTGCACCCAATGTCGAAACGCCAAATAAAAAAGCTCAATGCCCCCTTGTGCGCGCCGCCAACAACTGCCGAGCGCGTTCTACTACTCGCTACTCGCAAAAGTGCCTACTCGCAAACGTCATAAAAAAACACATGTCTGTTTTGATGCCATTTATCGTAGATCCTCCGCAGGGGATCCAGGCCGTTTGCGAGTTGAGACCTTGCGAGTAGTGGAAGGCGCTCGTCTAAACAACATCGGAGCCACTCTGCACCAGAGTGCGGAGCCCGCCCGTGGCTCCCGTGCCACACCGCCGCCAGTCGTGCCCCTGCCCCACCTGCGGGGGCAGGGCGGGCCGGGGCCTGCGAAGAGGAGGAGCGCCCAGGAAGCAGGAGGAGCAGGACGAGGAGGAGGACGAGGAGGAGGAGGAGGAGGAGGAGGACCAGGAGGAGGAGGAGGGCGAGGAGGAGGAGGAGGAGGAGGGCGAGGAGGAGGAGGACGACGAGGAGGAAGAGGAGGAGGAGGAGGAGGAGGAGTAGGGCGAGGAGGAGGGCGAGGAGGAGGAGGAGGAAGAGGAGGGCCGGGGCCCGCAAAAAGGAAGAACACCCAAGAAGCCGTGCCCTTCCGCCTCGCCTTTGCGAGGGATTTGCCAGGCGGGAGCAACTTAGGTAAACATTGCCAGTCACCTGCCCAGAATTCTAAGCCTTCAGTCGTGCGTGTCTCTCTACAGGAGGAATGGTTCACAATAGTTTAAATCATAGTCGGGGACGATTTTTCGACCATTGTTGACAAAGCTTGATCATTTTGGGAATAGTTTTTCTGTCTAAACTCCCCCCGTAGGAGGACATGCCCGACCTAGTCCAAGCCCTGCCTCCAAGGCGAGCGGCGCTGGCACGACCAAAAGCTCACCTACCCCGAGGACGCATGATGAGAGATGGACGCTGGTCGCTGAGGATCCCAGATCCCGATCTACTTCAAGCGCCTTCCTACGTCAAGACTCGATACGCTTTGGCTGTGTTTTGTTATTCTCTGGGAGGGCCTGAGCCCAATCTACAGTAATCGCCTTCCTACTTCATGTCTTTACGTACTTCTTCCGAGTGGCGTGTGCAGCCGTTGGCGATCCACGTGCCATTCTATGCAGTTCCAAGGGTGACACAGGTATTTGTTTACAAGAGAGGCGGACAACAGTCGAGCTCCACTGCGGACGACGGTCGACACTATGAAGGCAACGGGGCCTGCTCCCAACAAAAATAACGGAATTGAACAACAGGCCCCAACGATGCTTGCAATAGAAACCAAAGTTATTGAAAGTGGTGCAGGAGGGCATGCTTCAAAAGACACGGCTGCTTGCGCCCCTCTGGCCAGCAAGGATGCCAAGGAAGGCACACCTTGTAGGCCAGACACGCTGGAAGTGAGCCCACTGAGGGCCAGGTGGCATGGCTGGGCAGGTAAGAACATTGCAGCAACATGCTTGGAGTGCGAGGCCCCCTGTAGCCGCGAGCCTCGCGACCCCAAAAGCCCGTGGAGACCCCCACGAGCTCATCCCGCACGGCGCTGATGACCGCGGGTCTGTGAGATCGTTAGCCGCTGTCATTCGCACATGTTCGTGCTGTGCGTGCTGATCGCGTTCCTCGTGGGACCTCGTAGAGGTGATCTGCTCCCAGCGGCTGTCTTTGGCAGTCTTGGGCCGTTTGTGGGCGCTTCCTGCAGCCTATGGGCCGTCTTTTTGCGTCGGAAGCCCGAGAAGGCGAGGACGCACATGGAACAATTATACATGACTTGAGCAATCATACACGAATGTCCATGATGCTCGCCTCTTGCGGCCCTCTTTGGGCTCCTCTTGGAGCTCCTTCGGAGCGTCTTGTGGGTTTCTGAGGCCGTCGTGAGGGTATCCTGGGCCATCTTGGAGCGATCTTGGGCTCTTTCAGGGCCCTCCTGGAGCAAGCAGCGGTGCAGGTAAGTTCGAGCCGTTTCGGAGGCAAGACGTCGAATGGGAAAGCTTCTCCCAGGGAGGGGTGCTCCGGCCCCAGGGGCAGGAGGTGACAACCCCCGCCCCCCCCCCTCCCTTCCTAATCATTGTTCCTTATTGATAAACGCCCCCTCCCCCAGGCGACCGGCAGCCAACCAGGACCAATGAGGACCCCCACACCATCCTTGTTGGGCCAAAATCTTGGGTCATGATCGGGGGGGTCGCGAGCACTTTTTTCTGACACAGACGGCGGGGGTGACTGCATACCGCCTGCTGCGCGCAGGGCCAGTATCTCTGTCAAAACAATACACAATGCACTTCGAGGCAAAATCTGGATCATGCGCGGGCACTACGTGATCATTATGCTTTGGTTTTTGACTTGGACGGCGAGGGTGTTGGCACATTGCCTGCTGTGCGCAGGCCCACCAGACACTATGATGGCCACCCCGCCGCGATTGCGCACTCGCTTTCGACAATGGTGGTGGGGGCCGACACATTTCCCGACGTGTATTGCCACGTGCGCAGGCGCACGTGGCACTCTCTGCTCGTGCTCCGAACGTGGCGCACCTGGCGCGGCTGGAGCATGGGGCACATGGCGCACGTGGATCACGTGGCGCATCTGGCGCACCAGGCGTGCTTTGCACGCTTGGGCCACAGGTGTGCCTGGCGCACTTGACGCGCATGGCGCGCCTGGCACGCGTGGCGCACCTCGCCCCAGCGTTTCGCACATGCGGTCTGTATTGGCTCCCAGAAGCTACCCATCCATACACGACCGCTGAACATGCTGAGGCCCAGTTGCTACTTCTGTGTTGGGAGGGCGGGTGGGAGTGAGCGAGACACCTTGTGGGCGGGGAGGGTTTGTTCGATTTCTTTCTGGCGGCGGCGCTTGAGGAGGAGGGCTTAGGGAAAGGGGGGGGAGCGGCGACGGCAACGGCGACGACACAAACGGAGAAGCTTCTGACGAACGCTGGCTTGGTCGGCGGACGTTCTACAGAATCTCTACTTTGAGCGACGTTCCAGGGGGAACGGCCCCCGGGGGGTGGGGATGGTTGCGCTCAGGGTGAAGTCAGGAGCCAGCAGCGTCAGCGTCAGAAGGAGACGGGGGGAGGGGGGCATCGGGCAGGATGAGTAGGATGAGGTTGAGGACGAGAGATCCTGGCATCGCTCGGACGTGTGCATGCCTTCCTCGGCGAGGTCCCTCGAGGAGCATACTTATTGGACCATCGTGCGAAACATGAACGCACGAAGCCGA